CTGCTTATCTCAGCCTCCTTTGCAAGTTCCTCATGTCCCTGACAGCTTCCTTCTTGTACTAGACTCTCTCTCTAATTGACAGCTTCTATAAACAGACACTCAAATTGATATCTCCAGCCTGGATTTCTCACCTGAGCTCCGTCTTCATCTCTCCAATGGGATTTCTAATGGGCACCTCAGAATTAACATGTGTAAAACTGAACTCCTGATTCCACCTCCTTCCCAAACTGTTCCTCTATTTTCAGTAAATGGCAACTCAGTCCTTTCATTTGTTCTCATCAAAACCTTTGGGGTCATCATTGTCAACTCTTTCAACATCATGTCCTAGCAACCCTGCCTTCAAAATACATTCATGGCCTGATTGTTTCTCATTATTTTTTCACCACATTAGTCCTCCCCACCCCCCTCATCTTTCACCTGGGTTATAATAGTAACCTCCTGGCTGATTTCACTGCTTTCAAACTTAGGTTTTTCAGTCTGTTCTCACTTGAGCAGCCTAAATGCTCCTTTGACAACAAAGGTCAGATTGTTGCAGTTTCCTCCTGGAACTTTGCAGGGGCTTTCCGTCACTCTCAGGGTGAAGCCAGCGCCCTTAAAATGGCCTGCAGAGCCCCCCGATGCCCCCTTACCTCCCTGAGCCTCACTTTTAGGCCCCCCTTGCTATTCCCAGTCCAGCCATGCTAACTGAACCTCGTTGCCTTCAAACATGTCTAAGCTCTTAATTGAAAATACAAAAATGCATTTGTACTTTCTATTCCCTTTTCCTGGAGGACTCTCCCTTGAGAAAACTGTGTAGTTTTCTCTATTAGTTCTTTCAGGTCTGTGCTCAAGACCTATGAATAGAGCCTTCATTCTTGACAACTGTCCCTCTCCCCACACCCAGAGTTCTCTCTGCTCTGTTCTGCTTTGTTTTTTTCCACATTGTCGCTATCTAATGCTCTATGTGTTTTTTCTCTATTTGCCAACTGTCCGTCTACTCCGTAACAGAGCAAAAGCTCTTGAGAGCAAGGAGTTTTATTGTTGTTTCCACTGGTTCTGGACAAATAGCTTAGACTTTTCCAGGTCATTCAAATGTTCTTTAAAAGAATGAATAACAACCAAATCCCTCTACAAAAGCCATTTTGTTACTTTTTTTTTTTTTTTTTTTTTTTTTTTTTTTTTTTTTTTTAGCTATTAAGAAACAAAACCTGGAGAGAGAAAATGATAATGGTTAAGTCTCTTGAGACCACTGAAAGGTGTGCTTATTTCATATGGTCAACAGGAAAAAAGTAGTTTTAGTAACAATTTTGTTTAGTTAGTAAGATAAGTAGTCTGCTAAAATTATTATTAATAGTAGTACTAAAGATACTAAAACAGTGGTTCTCAACCTTGGCTGCACATTAGAATCACCTGGGAATCTTTTTAAAATCCTGATTTCTGGGCCTCATCCTCTGGAAATTCTGTTTCTTTGTTATGGGTTGGGGCCACGGCATTAGTAACAAAGAAACAGAATTTCCGGAGG